TTCTCCCTCTCTCTCTTCCTCTCTTTCTCTTCTCCTCTCTCAAACTACATATCATTCAATTAGATCAATCTTCCTTTCCTTCCCCTTTTTTTCTCTTTCTTCGATTACACATTGTCGACGTCGTCAGTTATTCACTGGTTGCTATGGTTATTTCAAATATAAAAAATGATATTGATAACGTGACGTGACTTGATATGACGTGATGTGACGTGACCTGATGTGACATGATATGTTGGGATACGATAAGAATGAAATAAATGACTGTAACGGGATGAATTAGTTCCCTTTAAAGAAGAACGAATAAACAGATGATTCATTTGTTCTGTTTAATTCAATAATTAATTAAATAATTTAATATTTTAAATATATTTTCCCTATTGATTACTAAAATTAGAATTCTTATCATTATCTGATATTATTATTAAGCTAATTCCCTTGTAATATATTAATGCAAATTAATTATATTTTAATTTTTATCTTTCTTTTTCATTACGACTAAATGTTATGATCAATAATTCTAATCGATAATAACTTTCTTTTCTATTGGTAGTTATTATTATTATCTTTCCAATGGGATATTCCTCATTTATTCTGTTATCTCGAAAAAGCGGGGGGCGAAAAAAGAAAGGGTAATTGTGAATGCTTAATTTGATATCATTTTTTATATGCCCTTTCAACTTTTCCAATTGCCATTTCATTGATCATTGCTAAAAGTCTTCACATCAAATGGATATTATGGAGCAGCTTAAAATTATTTTATATCATTTTTTTTTTCAGTTGATTTATTAGCATTGTAATTTTCTCATCAATTTATTTATTTATTTACTTGTTTAAATTTTTATTTACTTTTTTATTTACTTATTTATTTACTTATTTATTTGTTTGTTTACCTGTTTATTTGTTTATCTCATTTGTTTATTTGTTTGTTTAAATTTTTATTTGCTTATTTATTCACTTATTTGTTTATTTGCTTAATTGATTAATTAATTTATTATTTCTTTGTTTATTTATTTATTTGTTTATTAACTAACCAATTAATTTGTCTATCCATTAATTCATTTATTTATTTTTGCTCATTCATTTGTTTATCCATTCGTTTTTTTTTCCTATTCATTCATTTATTTTAATCCATCAGTTGTCTGACTAAATTTAATTTAACAAAATTTTTTTAATTCAACCTTTTAATGCATCACTTATTTGGTTGTTGTTTAATATGAAAAGAGTGGGTGAGGACATTTTTCATCCTTTGACCTAAAATGGGTATTTTTAGAAAAGGAAATTAATTTTAATTGAAATGAACGAAAAAAAAACATTAAACAGTAATTAACAGTAAAGTATTAAGAAATGTTATTTAAGACATTATTCTTGGCTCATTAGGCTCTTTTTTATCTGCTTATAAAACTTGAAATTCACAATGAATTCACATGATTTTTTTCCCATCTTTCCTTCATTTCATTACCATTCACTGAAACATTTATCCATTCAAATTAATTTTTTTTCTTTAAATAGTTATTAAGTTTTTATATTCATTTATTCATTTCAAACACCTGTTTGTTGCTTCTTTTCTTTCATCCATTCAGTAGCAACAGATGTTTGTTTGTTTCTTTCTTTCTTTCTTTCTTCCTTTTCTTTTTAATTTTTCCAAAAATTCAAATTCTTTGTTTCCTTTTATCAATAATGATAATGTTACCATTTTTATTTATTAATTATTATATTATTATTTCTCATGCATTAAAATTTAGATTACAAGGAACGGTAGTATCTTTTATCAATAATGATAATGTTATCATTTTTATTCATTAATTATTATTAATTATTATATTATTATTTCTTATGCATTAAAATTTAAATTACAAGGAATGGTATATCTTTTATCAATAATGATAATGTTATCATTTTTATTTATTAATTATTATTAATTATTATATTATTATTTCTCATGCATTAAAATTTAGATTACAAGGAACGATAGTAAACGAGTTATTTGGTTAAATATTGATTTATTTTATTTTATGCGGTTTAAAATTCAAACTGTTACTACTACAATATGCAATTTATCATTTCATTTTTAAGCTGTAATTTTCACTAAACAGATTCAATTTTTGCCAATTGCCAATATCTGACACTTTTTTTTCCCCCGAATTTAAAACATATTTGTTCATAGAATTGATTATTAATATTTCAAAGGGAACAAAAATCGCAATTAAAATCGAAATTAAAATTAGATCGAATGTTTTCAAATGCATTATCAATTAAAATTTTTTAAAAACTTTTACTTTCAGACTATTAAAAAATTAATTTTTACTAATTATCAATGATGTGAATGATAATGATAATGAATGTAGCTGCTTATTTTTCCTTATCTTATCTCTTTTTAAAAAAAAAAAAGAAAAAGAAAATTTTTGAATCGTTCAAATTCCATCAAAATACTATTTGCTTTTTTTTTTCTCGTAACAAAAAAAAATTTATTCCAATTCTCTTTGAAATCTTTTTTTTTTTCTCACCATCAAATGATCCCAATGATTCATTTTTGTATGTTTACTTGCTTTTCATCAAATTTATTTCCTTAAAAATTGTAAACAAATAAATGCTATCTAATTCGATGTCTCTTTTACATTTAGAAAATTTAAAAAAAAAACTTGTCAAATTTCATCTTTTAAATTTGAATTGTTTGAAAAAAAAATTTTTCCCCCTGCATTTAGCTTTATTTAATTCATTTAATCATTTTATCAAAATATCATAACTATCTAATAATTCATTCTTCATTTTTCTTCATCTATTGTTTAGTTTTAGGAAAGGCAACAAAAATCAGACATATCTTTTAACGAAATAATGAATTGAATTGTTTGATTTTAATTTTTGATTTAATTTAATTCTATTTACTTGTTGCCTGTTTCACTTCTTCTCGACGAATATTTGGTTTAATTTAAATTTATTTTAAATTTTATTTTAATTTAGTTATTTTATTATTTCAATTTCTCAACTATCCTTATTTTAAACAAAAGTATTTCTGTGAGAAAAGAATGTTTCACCATTAAAATCATTTAATCTACATACTTATACAAGCTCGTACACGTAATTATGTACGTAATCATTCACGTAATTATTCACCTACGCACGCTTAGTTACATAATTACCTGCGCATTGCATATGTCAGGCATGAAATGAAAAATCGCAAAATGAATGTAAGGTTGGTTGTAAAAGATCACGTATTACGTATGATGAGATCACGGATTACGTGTAATGAGGTAATTATGACGGATCACATGACACATGCCATATATTTATGTTTGTATTTTCTTTGTTTACGATTATTATTCTTATCATTGCTACTTTTTTCGTGTCATTTATTGGCATTTACAGGTTTACACCTACCTGTAAAAAGAAATAATAATAAGGTTACAAATTTTTAAATTATTAAAATGTAATTTTAAAAATTTCACAAAGTTGAAATACCTATGTCATGGTTTAGATAGGAAAGTTTACGTGCACCATTTGTAATCATGTAAGTACTGAAAATATAAATAAAAAGAAAGAGATGTAAGTTTATAAATTAAAATGTAAACTTGTAACCATGTAAGTACTGAAATTATTATATTCAGTTTTTTAATTTATTACATTCCTAACTGAATTGAATTTTAGGATTTAAATTTCAAAAAAAAGCTTGTAACCTAAGTGTCTTTTTTTTTAAAGAAACAATTTGTCAATCATTTATTATTGCCTTTCATTTTCTTCCTTTTTTTTTGATTCTAAATTAATAATTACCGGAAATTTTTACTTATTTATCATTTCATAGTGAAAATTTTCTTGTTTATCATCAAAAGTTATGATGCATTTTTCTTTTTGATTAAAAATTTGAATTAACAATTAACAATTTTATTGTTTGTTATTATTTTTCCCCATGAAAGCCAAAGTTTATGAATGGGAGAAAATTAACAAAAAATTGATTCAAATTCAATAACTAAAATATATACAATATTTGGTTTGTTTTGTATTTGAAATATAATTTTATTCACAATTATGCGCCATTTGTTTATTTATTTATTTATTTATTTTTGTCACATTTATATTTGTAAACGATAATATGCGACATTTAAATATTTATTTTAATATATATCCGTCCATTTGCTCACTTCTTATTTATCATTTCATCTTCCATGTTGATCTTATCACTGATTACATTGACTTGTATTTGTTTGTATAAATCATATGATTTGATCGATTATATTTATTTACATTTGATAAATTAATTCATTTCGAAATATTTGTCAGTTAGTCTCTCTTTTAATATCAAAATATTTAATTAATCCTTTGGATTAATTATAAGAATAATTAAATTAAATTAAATCAAAAAAGAGAGAAAGAAATAAGAGTAATATGATGAAATGACTCATAAAAATATATGCAACAAAAAAAGAAAAAAAAGGTATTTTGACTAATTTCTCAAATTTTTAGTGATAATTATATAATAATATTGTGCAAATATTAATTGTTGAAATTTTTTTACTGATTAAATGATAAAATGATAAGAAATAAACAATATTTCTCGTCTTTTCTTTATTTCATATTGTACTTTTAAAATGGAAAATTTCATGTTGAACAGCTTCAATAATATTTCATAATTTTAGAAATGCATCCAAACACAGACAAACAGACACAGACACACATACGCACACACACACACATATACATATATATATATATATATACAATAGATGCACACACATATATGTATATGTATGTATAACTGACGATCAATAATAATATTCATAAATATTAGCATTAAGCTAATTGATGGTTGTTCGATAATGGCAAACCATTTTGGATAAACATTCAACAGTCTTTGAGTGTGTGTATGTGAGTGTGTGTGTGTGTCTGTGTGTCTGTCCGTCTGTCCGTCTGTTTGTAGCATTGGATTTCAATCCATTTAAAACTCCTTATTCATACTTCATTTACATCATATTATTTAACAACAATGTCTATGTACATTAAGTAGCATTTTAAAGTGAAGTTATCGCTGTTGTTGGTTGTTTACTGTTTGTCGTTTGTTGTTTTGTTATTTGTTGTTTATTGTCCATTGTTCGTCGTTCGTTGTTTGTTGTTTGTTGTTTACTGCCTGTCATTTGTTGTTTTATTGTTTGCTGTTTGTTGTTTACCGTCTGTCGTTTGTTGTTTACTGTTCGTCGTTCGTTCCTTACTGTTTGTTGTTTACTGTTTGTTGTTTGTTGTTTTGTTATTTGTTCTTTACTGTTTGTTGTTTGTTGCTTTGTTCTTGTTTTGTTGTTGTTTATTGTTCAACTTTATTCGTTTGTTTGTTTGTTTATTTTAACGAAAATACATTCTCTTCATTATTGTATAATTGTTACTTTTTTTTTTCCCAGCTAAATCAAATAACTTTTGAAACTAACTTTTGAAACATTATATCAATATGAAACATATTGATATAATTTTCGGTATGTATTTTCATTTATGGAGTTATTCCTTAATAACCGAGATCGTATCTCGGTCTTTTTCAGAATATTTCCAATTTATTACGGATATGCTAATGCAATCTATTTCTTCAAATATGCTAATACTTGTTGTCGTGCCTGATCTTATTCCCAATTTTTCCGAATTCATTTCAACAGTTTCCGAAAAGTATTGTTAGCATTAAAATATGATCATATCGGATTATTCAGTTTCAGTTTTCTCATAAAACTTTCAAACAGAAGGAAGCGAACATTTCTTACTAACTTAAATTTAGTTACATCATAAAATCTTTGCCATTTTTTTTTTTCTTCATTCAATCTTCTTTGAACAGAATTATTTAAATGTGACACTTTCCGAAAACGATGGGTACATTAAGAAGGAATTTATCAACCAATATATTTCTTTTTTTTGTTTTCCTTCTTCCACTAATCCGGTTATCGTCTTTTTCAGATACACTAAAATAATATTCTGGTTCAGTTTCGAGTTTTTTTATTAATTGAAATAATTTAAAAATTATTTGATTCCCTTTGAATATTGAATAAAAATTAGCCATCGGTTAATTTCTTAAAAAATATATTGAAATACGCATAGTATTTTTTCTTTAATTTTCATTTCAAAATTTTGTGGATTCTAATTTTTTTTTTTCTTTACAACAAAATCAATATCTTGAAATTTCGGGCGGAAAAAAAAACTCAATCAATCAAAAATGTTTTTATTTAAAATTTTCAAAACATTGCAACGAAATGGAATTATATTTTTTTTAAATAACTTTTTTAATTTAGCCTGAATTTATGCTTGAATTTCAGTTTTAAATTTCTCGACTAATTTTATCCATTTTTAATTTATGCATTTATATTTATGCATAATGTTTCATTTTAAACTTTCTTTTTTTCTCTCTTAATTAGTATCTCAACTTCCAATAAAATGAAGTTTTGCAAACAAATTTTCTTTTCCATTGATTTCAAAATATTTAGTTTGAATTTTATTTAGTGTATGAAATATTTAGTTCGAATTTTATTTAGTGTATGAAATATTTAGCTTGAATTTTATTTAGTGTATAAAATATTTAGTTTGAATTTTCTCAGAAGTTCTTTTTTTGCCCAAATTTTCTGAAATTAATCAATTAAAATATTTTTTTACTGTTTATTAGATAATTATGCTTTAATATCGTTTATTTGTTGAAATTTAATACATTTTAATAGCCGATAATATTCATTTGCACAATTTGCTCCATTTTACTACGATCCAATTAATTAATTAAGTTATCGAGTAATTTTCTTATCGGTTTCTTGAGAAATTTATTCATAATTACTATTTTTTGAAAAAGAAATTAAATTACACATACATTTATAAGTGCCGCCTAAATATGAATGTGCTATATTTATATATTTAAATGATTACATATAATTTTCACTTGAAAATTTTTCTATTAGTTTTAAATTTTAAAAAAATGAAATTTCATTAACTTTTCTATTT